GATAGCACCACACCCCAGTCTCACCCCCAGACACAGCATGGATAGCACCACACCCCAGTCTCACCCCCAGACACAGCATGGATAGCACATTGCCCCAGTCAAACACAACCCTGCCATACTACACCTTAATGTGCTGTATTCCCCCCATGTTCATCCAAGCTTGTGATTGGTCAGGATTGAGCTCCACAGCCATCCTGTAACTCTGTGTCAGAGGAGAGAGAGCGCTTTAGGCTGATATTTCACAAGAAACAATAGCCCACAGATAAAATCTTGAGTAATTAGTTAAAAGAAGGATATTAATAGGTGATAGACCTTGTGTTTTCTCTGCATGAGCCAGGGGTGTTGGTTTTCAGCACAGAGCATCTCTTCTGCATGATACAGTAACTCTGTGTACTATATGACCAAACATAAACCTGGCAAACAACCATTTCTTCTCCCAGTACTCCAGAGGCTATTTCTGCCTGGAATGGATGTTCCCCTCAAACATCTTGCATTATCTCGGAAAGTGTAGAAAATGAGGCCTGGTTGCGGGCCTGAAGTCAAGTCTGGGCATCACGTCTGAGCCATCAGTTGTTTTATACTGTGTCTTAGCCAGTACACACACTAGAAAGACATATCCAAAACACAAACACAGAAACGTTTGATCTTTACTTGAGCACATGAAGGATGCCAAATAGTTTTCCACAGCTGTCCAATGTCTCTGTTTTGAAGGAGAGGTAGTCTTGATTCTTATGATATATAGTTTGTGGTGCTGTGTTTTGATTTTGCTGTTAAAAATCCATGAAATCAGCAGGTAGGGGGGATGAATGTGTTTTATTCCTGAATGTAGCACCGGGGATTAATTAAAAAAAATAGTTTCAGTGCTGTGAAATTAAATTTGATGTCAGATTTAGAGGATATTGGACATCTTGTGCATGTGAAACACCTCTGTCACACCTGAAGAAGGCTCCACGGCCAAAACGTTGTGTTCTCTTTCTTCTTTTTTTCAGCTTGGAATAAACCTATTACTTGTTCCTTTGCAGCCTACGCATGCTGACGCAGCTCCCCACCTCAATTATAAAAGTATGTTTAGAATCATGTAAAGTATAAGGCATTGTATAATTCACCTCTTGTCATCTCCACAACCGGAAAGAACAGAATATGAACATGCTGTGTGGTTTATTTCTGTCATGTGTAATGCATTACTATCAAGTAACATTTTACTCTTTCATATCAGCAGTTAAGTATTGCATCAGCTTTTTTGGAAAAAATAAATGCAGAATTAAGAAGTTCGATTAGGGAGCTGTGTCAGAATACAAAGGCTGCAAAGGAACGGGTAAGGGTTTTTTCCATGCAACAAAACATTGAGTTTCTTTTCTTTACCATTCAGCACGGAATGAACCTTTACCTCTTCCTATTCCTTTACCCCCACCAGTGCAAAGACGTGCCGGTAGGATAACTGGCTTCTGGGAGAATCAGCCCTGGTGCAAGCTAATACAATCAGTCATCACAGCAGCTTGGAATAAAAATCTAAATCACTTCACAGCTGAAGCTGTAAGTTCACAGGCGCTAGGTGGCAGCAGAAGCTTATCAATCACGTCCACAAAAAGTATTTCATTTAATGCTTAAAGCTTCCTACTAATGTGCAAATAATGCAGAAAATGATATTATTTTATTTAAATTTAGTCTCCTAAATTTAAACGTTTCGATCTTTGAAAGTTTATAAGTAGTGCTTCTTGTAAAATTGAAGAGCACATAAGAGTAATGGAAAGCTGGCTGGGGGCCAGGGGTACTGAAGGAAGCAATCACTGGGCTCTCGCTGCGCAGGAAGGCCATCTTATCAACGTCTAAACACAGCAGCTCCACATGCCCTTCCTCTGGCCGGACAGAGAATCCAACATTCAAATGACCTGATCTCTGCAGGACGCTGGACCAGCTCTCCACATGGCGTTACTTCTACTAAAACACGTTTGCATTGTAACTATTTCATCAAGGACATGCTTGTGCTACTTCTCTTTCATTCTTTTGTTATGTTAAAGGAGTTCTTAACCGTGCATCTTTCAAAAGATGGGTAACTAAACAGAATGTGCCCCTCTCTCGATCTGAGGGCGAGTGCCCGCCGACCGACATGACCACAAGCTCCCCAGTTACTCTCTCGCGGTTTGAAGAAGCAGGGAGTCACCTGGAAAGCCTGTTCCAGCAGGTTCATCTCCCTCAGCTGGTTCCCCTTGGAGAAGTGCAGCTCCGCCTTCATGGCAAGGTCCCCCATGTTCAGCTGGATGGCCTTTTCCAGGGCGTCCAGAGCCTGTCAATCACACACAGAGCACCGCGGGTCAGCACTGCAGCGGCCTGGCACGCAGCTGTGACGTCAGTCATTAAAGAGTATTAGAAACCAGTATCACGGTGGCACAGCGCTTGGCATTGCTGACACGCAGTGCTGGGGCCCAGATGCCCTACCCGTATGTCTGTGTGGAGTTTGCATGTTGCCCCCGTGTTCACATGGCTGTCCTCCATGTGCTCTGGTTTCTTCCTCCAGCGCAAAGACATGCTGGGAGGTTATTTGGCCTTTAGGAAAATTGGCCCCAGTGTGTCTGGGTGTGCCCTGTGATGGACTGGCGTCCCGTCCAGGGTGTACCTGGCCTTGTGCCCCACGCTTGCCAGGACAGACTCCGACCCCTGCGTGACCCTGTATTGGGTAAAGCAGCTGGGCGGATGGATAAATGAATCTGATTTAATAACAGCTGATACTTCTGCTGCCCTTTTCCCTTCTTCAGCCATCATGTACATTGCTACAATGTGAGGACAGAGAGTGAAAAGCTCTGCAGACGGGGAAGTGGGGTGAGAAGGTGGATTTCTGCAGAAAAGAGTCATTAACATACAGTACTGTACTCCACACCCTCTGCCCTGTCGATGGAACAGGCATTTCAAACTACACTTATATTAAAAAAAACATTGGAGTCTGCCAAATTGTTTACAGTTTAATTTAGTTTTTTCTCTCTGACTTCACAAGGGGCTCCAGCAAAGTCAAAAATGGAATGGAACACAGAGATGAGGGATCAGAGACGTGCCCATGAATGTAATTCGTTTTCAGCAGAGCAAACTAACCATCAGAGCTGCAGTTCATTCTTGAAACAAACTGTATTTGTTGGCAGGGACAGCAGATGTGAAACTGCAGACACAGGGCTCACTCTTTTGGGAGAACAGGCACCGAGGAAGAAGGGTGAATTTCAAAGTTTTGTCCACAAGAGCACAATTGCCTTTGTCTTACTAGGGAAAAACAGTGGGGTCCCAAAAAAGAAAGGCAAGACACATTTTAACTGATCCTCCTGGATCCCTAAGGTAATTACTAGCTCTTTCACTGTAGCTGACCAACTTCCCTTTCAGAATTTAATGAGCCAAAAGGCAAGGCTGTATCCTTGAAGGTGTCCTGCTTTAAGAGCGCAAGAATGAAATGTAACCTTTGTTATACGCTCTTATTCCGGCTGGGTGTCGGTCTGACGTAGTGAATGTCTTATGGTGGTTTTTAGGAGATTGTGTCCAATCCAGAGGAAGAAATCAGAATCGCTGCCCTTTCGTGACATCACCCGTAATTGCGGAGGAGGTACTGTACATCACACTGCAGTGGCACAAACGATCCATCTCCCTGTCCACGAGGAGGAGAAAACAGACACGGAGTGCTGACACTCTATTGAGGCTGATGAATGATAATGTGGGTCTCCTGGGCTCTAGCGCCTGCAGTACAAACACGACGTCTCCACGGGTTCTATTTGCATACCTCATTGTGGCTTCCGCGTTTGCTGTAAATGGCAGATAAGAGTCGATAACATTCAACACAGGCCGTGTTCTTAGATAAAATCCCAAAGGTCATTTCTTCAGCTTCTTTCGCTTGTCCAGCCATAGCCAGGACCTGAGCCTGAGAAACAAGAAAAAAAAAGGGGAAATGAAATTGCTCTGATAAAAAGGAAAGCCACTGTACACGCTTAGGGAATAAAATGAGACGGCAGACGAGCTTTGGTGCTAACAGGACGTGTTAGAAATATTGATCTGATTGGAATTCGTTCTCATTGTCTGCAAAGTAATGTCCACGAAGACAAGATCTGTCAGGAATCCTGCAAGTTCCATTTCTTTATATCCAGTCTAATGTTGCTTTCCTCTGGTACAAAGTTCCCTGCATGCAAGCATCCCTCTCCACAGCCAAGGTCTGGCCACAAATATATAGGCAAGGAAGAAATTCAGCAATTCTCTCCCTTCACTGCCACATTATGCACGATGGTACTATATGCACGCCATGAATATAAAATAAATATTATGCAACACATTTTTCAAGCACAAGCACCTCTATAATCTACACACATACAGTGTATATGTTCCATAATATAACAAACATTTTGTATATCAGTATATGCAGTATATTGACAAATATTGGCACACAGGATTTTTTGGAAGGGCACAATACACAGAACGTGTCTCGTCCAGCTGTATGATTTCTCCCTGTGCTCATCAGGAGATCCGAGCTGAACCCCCTGTGAAACACTGGCTCAGTACTGTGGCTGCCAGACCAAAGACATATCCCCATGTGAAAACTGCAACTAAACAAAACCCTAAAGCACGCAGATCAACTCCAGCTGGAAGCACAGCGAGAAGTGGAAGTACTGGGGCAGTGAAGTGAAAACGGTCATTTTTGTTCCAAATTAGTTCTTTCAGTTCAGATGCTTTAGGTTTAGATGCTGAAATCTTGCTGAGATTGAAGGAAAGAGGAACCAGACTGCCAGATTGACCGAAGGATCAAAGACCCATTACAAACGAGAGGAGGCTCCTCAGCCCATTTAGTGAGTAGTCAGTTCATCCCAGGATCTAATCTGGCCGGCTCTTGAAAGAAACCAGAGTGTCGGCTCCAACAGCTGCCGCTGTGCTGTGTTTATAAGCATTTCACTGCACTTGTGCATAAGACAGATAAACTGAGCTGAACAACATGGCTAGGTAGTTTGTTCCATACCCCCACAACCCTTTGGGTAAAGATGAGCCTCCTGTTCTCATTTTCAAATGCACTTCCCCGTAGTCTCCACTTGCGTGCTCAGGGTAGTGTTTCACTGCTCATTCTAAGGAGGCATGCTGGGTTGACTTTGGGAGTGCCCTGGAGGGATTTGAAGACTTTATTCAGATTCAATTGTATTCTCCTCCACTTGGCACATTAAATGTAGTGGGTCCTCTCGGAAAAGGGGTGTGGCGGTAAAAACTCTGACCAGCGTTCCGAGATGCCTGTGCTGTGGATTTCGGGATTTCACAGCAACTAAACAAATCCAGTCACACCAGGGACAGAACCGTGTCCCCAGATATCGCAATTCTTTGCAATCAGAAACCCTGATAAGCCGCCGGCTTCTGTCAGAAAGAGCTTAGGTGCCTGAACTCAACTGGAATGGTGTCATTTCTCGTCTAAAGAAGAAAGGCCCCCGCCCTGAGAAGATAGACCGATGAGACTTGATTGATCCCGAAGGGAAGGTGAACCCGCGGGTGCCGGTGTGTCAGTCTCACCAGTGCCAGCCAGATCTCGCCATTGTCGGGCTGGAGCTCCGTGGCCTCCCTGTACACCTGCAGGGCCTCCTCGTAGCGCCCCGTGTTGTAGTACAGCGCCCCCAGCGGCGTCAGGATCTCCACCCTGCGGGTCACCTGCAAGGCCCTGCCACGTGGCAGAAAGGTCAGATCTCGCACCCCCCCCGGCTGGTGATTACAGAGCACTGTCTCCGCAGCACAGATTCCTTATTGATCGGCTTAGGGTGACGAGCAGCCTTGCCGATGAACAGAACCTTATTTGTAAAAACGTTGAAATGTCACGGTAAACGTTCCACAAACCAGCTCTCAGAACAAATGGTTTCCACCAGAACTTCTAAGTGAAAACTAGCAGAATTGTTTCTATTGAAGCATTCACCCCTGTTCTGCCACTCAGCGACACAGGCGACCTGCTGTGCCAGTACAGGGGCCATCACAAATGTTCGCACTCCTTTTATACAGATTTCACCCAGATTGTACTTCCTGTTTCAGTCCTGCAGCAGCCGTGTGAAGGAGTGACTAGGCTTTGGGCTCAGGACAAGATGGTTGTGGGTCTACCAGTGGCTATATCACCCTGCAGCTCACTACTGAAGCCCAGCAGGTGTGAGCCTGGTCAGTACCTGGATGGGAGACCTCCTGGGAAAGCTAAGGCTGCAGCTGGAAGAGGTGTTAGTGGGGCCAGCAGGGGGTGCTCACCAAATTACATTCATAAAATTCCCAGGGGTGTTACTCCGGCATCCAGGCCAAATTTCCCCCTGGTCTTCACCAATCATGGCCTCTTAATAATCCCCGTCTCTGAACTGTCTTCATCACTCTCTTCTCCTCCCCACTGAGAGCTGGTGTGTGGGGAGTGTACTGGTGCACTCTGCTCTCCTCCCCACTGAGAGCTGGTGTGTGGGGAGAGTACTGGTGCATCATCCAGGTGGGGCTGCACACTGGTGGTGGTGGTGGAGGGGATCCCCATGACCCGTAAAGAGCTTTGAGTGGATCGCAAGTTTTAGGAATTATTATTATTATAATTATTATCCTAGCTGGGGCTCTTGAGCAAGTTTCTGCAGTCATTCTGCTCCACTAACACACCCCGCTGTACAAACAGGCACACATGAAATTGGCTGATTTGCAGATGGAAGCGTCCCCCCGCCCCCGCCCCCCGTCCCGCTCACCTCCTGTACCAGGCTTCGGCCTCCCTGTTCTGCCCGGAGGAGCGCAGCAGCCGGCCCAGGTTGACCATGGCGACGAAGTGGGAGGGCTTGAGCTGGATGGCCTGCTGGTAGTGGGCCGCCGCCCCCTCTCCGTCTCCTGGGGACACGGGTGCTGTCAGGGCGCGGCCAGGCAACCCCCGGCCGAACAGAGCGACAGCCAGCAGCCTGCACCCCTCCCAGCAGGGCTGTGCACCGGTGCTGGTGCAACGCTGCTCCTTACACCAAGCCTAATGCACGCTACGTTGTTCTACAGATAGCACCGACCAGGAGAAAGTGCACAAACTGGCCAGCACCCAGTTTGCAAGAGCAACGGATTCGCCTGCACCACCGCTGTGCGTCTCGTGTGACGAGCTCTTGAAATAGAATCGGCTTGCCTTGTTTCCCGTGATGACTAATGCCTTGCGCAACATCTGCTAAGCAATAGATTTCAACAAGGCGCTGCAGCGGATACAGGAATTGTTATATACTGCTTAGTATCGTCAGGGTATATGGAATGGGACATCATTTGGATGCAGTGGACCACACAAACGCCGGGGTGGAAGAGTGCCAATGGCAATGTAACTGCCAAGCTCCTTCATGAACCTGCTCCGAGTTCTTATTTCTAAACTCATCCAACAAAGGATCGATTGTTCTAGCATCGCACATGCTCGCCGTGATCACAGCCTGCAAGCGCCAGGTTTCAAGAGACAGCAGATACGCCCCTTGCCCGCCTCAGTCAGGAGGGCAAGGCGCGCTGAAAGCTGCGGGCCCCGAGCCGCGGTCTGAGCTCCAGCAATCGTCCTAAAGGGGACCTTCCTGTCTCCCGAACAAACCTCTCCCCTCCTGGAAGTCACCCCACGCACCTGTGTCCACCAGGAAGACGCCGTAGTTGTTGTGCAGGTCCGAGCTGTCGGGGCAGTTTTCAATGCCCTGCAAGTAGACTTCATTGGCTTCGCCAAACCGCCCCTGAACAAGCAAACCGAGGAGAAGGTTTAGCAAGAGCACACACACACACTCACTCACACACACACAAGCACGCACGCACGCACGCACACACACACTCACAGAGAGAAGCAGGAGAAGAAAATATTAAGGATGCTTACAGAAGAACTCTGGTTTATTAATCTCAAAATTAGAATAGATTTGTGATTGCCTTTGGATAAATGCAAGCTGTTAACTGAAACCCCTCAGAAGCTGGGTTGATAGTTTATTAAGCTCTGCTGAACGTTTCTCAATGTATTCATCGTTGCATTGCTATAACCATCATTATTTACTCCCCTTCTTCACAGGTGTCCTGCGCAGATCTCGAAGCAGTAGGAGCAGGACATACTGTATACAGAATTATTACAGAGCTGTATTCCTCTGATTCCAGAGTCTCCAGACTCTTCGAGACAGGACAGGGGTTTCTGGTTTCCTCTAAACTGAATTCATGTGTAAACTGCCCATCAATATTGATCTTAATAACAAGACAGCATTAAAATTAGATTATAAGACATCTCATGAATATTGATATGATTATTAGTGGTTTTCTACAGTAACCCACATTATGAGTTTGCCACAGCATTCTGCATATTCACAAGGAACTACTGTAGGCCACAAACAAAGACTTCACTTCATTTCACTTCAACACAATCACCTCATGTCTCAAAGTGGCTCAATTAATGAGGCTCTGCTGGCCTACTGTCAATTTCCAGTTTTCCCCTCAACTTAATCCAGGTTCAATCCTATCAACACGCAAAACTTTAACTTCTCTAAACCCTGTCTTGTGAGACAGTAGCCTGCAAGACAACCTCAGGTTAGGCATTGAAAGGTCAGGAGACGCAGTAAAAAGCTGCTGGCTGTAAATGTTCTTGACAGACATGATGCTTTTTGACAGGATTTTGCCGTGAAGAGCTGGCAGCATGTGGAGAAGCCTAAGGCAGACAGAGTCCACAGCTCCGATCCCACCCAGCATCTTGCGATGGTTGCGAATGAGAAGCCAGACTGGAAAAACATCTGAAGAAAAGCCCTGGAGATACTGGACAGCAATCGGCATTTCCATCCGGGCTGGATGTCCTGCAGTTTTTCTGACCAGGAAAAAACACAACACCTGCTACGAGCTGGCTTGGACACATTTATCCCAAGAACCTCCTGGCCTGACCAAGGCTCGGCTTAAACCCAAATTGCAACCCCCACTTCCATCTCTGTTTGAAATGTGATGCATGATGGCAGAGCCCTCTTTGGTAGATTCTCCTGCCTTCTGCCTGAACGCCAGGCGTGTCAGAAGTTGTGTACCAGGCCACTGAGCCCAGAGTTTGTGTTAGTATTCTGTGGCTCAGCTTCACAGACCCTGAGCAGCAATAGACTTCCTTTCCTAGATCAACGTCAGTGACTCTAGAATTAGTGTTACTACAGCTAAACCTCCTGTAGAAGTATATTACTGGCCATAGCATAGTATTAGACAGCAATGCAACTCTCTGCAAAATCTCAACCTATCAACAGACTTCAGCACAATCCAACAGACACAGTGCATGTTAGAACTGAAAAAGGAGCTAACAGTTTGAGTTCAAAAACATCTAATGCTCTTCACAACATCTCCAGTCTAAAGAACTGCAATAGCCTCATTCTGTCAACTCTGTAATTTTCTGCTTGCATAATGCCTATGATTGAATACAGCAATTAAAATGATTCTCGAACAACTCCAAATAATCTGAAAAAGAAATATCACCCCCCCCACCTTACTGAAGAAGTTATGGAAAAACACTCCCAAAATATTAATGTAAAAACATGTCCTGATCCAAAACACAGTCAAAATAATTATATTTTAAAATGATACATTTATACATAAGTTATAAATGTAATTTTATTCTGGTACTTTAAATGATACAGTATATCCTGTATGATCATTTCCCACAGACTTCGCTTATGTTTTAGAAGGACAAGAAAGTATTTCATTTTAAATGTCCTTAAAAAAAAGCCAGCTTTGTAGGATGAAATACAGTAGCTGAAATTGTTCATCTTAAGTGCCTGCAGTACTACAGCTGATTTTGTGTTGAAGCACGCGTACAGTGAGGTGGAAACTGCTGGAGAATGTGATAGAAGCAGTGAGATTGTGTCTTCGGTAGTGCTGGGGTCTAGGTGCTGTGGAAGAACATGTGCTATACCCACTGTCCTTCAGGGAAGGAGAATCCTGACAGAAATGTTCCTTTCCCTTTAAATAAAGAAAGGAAAAGCCGGCCGTGGTGGGCAAGCAAGGGTGTCTGGGATTCCCCGGCAAGGACAGTGGAACCTGAACGCCTCAAGAACACGCCAACATGCAGGTTTATTGAACAGAGAGCCAAGCTAGATGACCCACGTACAGGTATGGCAGCAAATCCAGCAGCAATACTGTACGAAACTGCAGCAAAACAACAGCCAAAGGCAGGAACCACACTTCTGAATACGAAGAGACAGCGCGGATAAAATGGGATTGGTAATAAAAAAAGACATGCTGGCAGGATAACTGGCTTCTGGGAAAACTGTCCGTGGTGTGAGTGTCTGTGAGTGTCTGTGTCTGTGTCTGTGTCTGGCCTGGGATGGGATGGGATGGACTGGCACCCCTTGCTCGCTCGGATAGGCTCCCCTGCGACCCTGCATTGGGTAAAGCAGTTAGAGAATGGATGGATGGAGATCCTTAGTGTCTCCCGCTGAGCACTACTGAGCACACGGAGAAGCAGCAGAGACGGCAGAGCAAAGGGGAGGGCGGCGGGTTACCTGCTCGGCGAGCAGAGACGCGAGGCTGGAGTAGGCATCGGCGAAGTGCGGCCCCAGCTGGACCGAGTCTCTCAGCAGCTGCTCAGCCTCCGCCTCCTTCCCCCGCGCCCTGCAAGCACAGGGACGAGCTGACTGCGCGCCCGCTGCTCACCCGCCCCAGCCCCCTGGCGGCCAGGGAACGAGCACCCGCACGAGAGAGCCGATGACCTGCACAGTTTCGCTGTACCACACTGGCATCTGTGCCGCTGCGGGTCTCCCGCCGCCTGCACAGTGTTTACACATTCCAGCTCTTGACATTTCCTCCATCATGGGCCAGGACTTTCCATCTGCTTTCCTGAGTTCCTCTTCCTCTGGAGTAAATTCCCCTGGCTAGTGTTATTCCCTGTCTTGACTTTCGGAAGTGCACTGGAACGGGCAGTTGAAGCTGGTGTTGCAGTGGGTTCCTGTGACAGTGTGACATGTACAGCACACGCTGTACAGACAAACTGGCACACATGTACTGTAGTAAAATCAAGCCTTCAAGTGAGCATGCAAATGCCATTTAAAACCTTTTTAATGGGTTCTTCTGGGTTTTATTTTTAACAAGGAATGTTCTGATACCCGAAAAACTACTGTTTGTACGTGATGGAAAAATGCATTCCATTTCAACTTCGTTTGTGTGTTGTATGAGAGCTCTCCATCTGCCTGTGGTGCCAAGATTTCAAAGAATTTTTAAAGTGGTTTAATATTTACATGCATGTACACAACAGGAGTGCACACCTAATGTGGTTCTGGTATAGTATGTCAAGCGGTGTAGGTTACAGATTCAATATAAAACGTGACAAAAAGGTTGAGAACAGATGAGATCCAAATAAACAGAATCAGATACCTGAAAATCCCACTGATGTGGCCTGGTGAGGACTCTGGGCTTCATTATTGATTGACCACCAGGCCACATCAGTGCAGCTGGGCTGATACACAGTGGCTATCAAAAGTATTCACCTCATAAGATGTTTTCACATTTTATTGTGTTACAATAAGGAATTGTAATTATTTAATTGCTTTTTTATTACCATGGATTGACACAAAACACTCTACAAGGTGAAAGTGAGAACAAAATCCTCCTAAATTATAAATATAAAACAGAACATAAATGATTAGGAAATACATTATGATTCCATGTTGTAAACACAGTAAAATGTGAAAAATTCCAAAGAGTGAATACTTTTAATAATCACTGTAAATATTAAATTTAAATATATCAATTATTTTTCAACACCATCATTTACACCAATTAACTGAAACTAAAATCTACTTGCCAAAAACAGACAACAGCAAAAAGATGCACAATTTTACACGCGCAAAGATTTACTTTAAATTCATTGTCTAGAGATCCAGCAGTCGGGTGAAGGTGGAACATTTTAATTCATCTTGTCCTAATTAGTTTTGCAGGTCCAATTAACAGTATAAGGTTCTTGCTGATAAAATCACTCATGAGCTGTAAATCCATAAACTGTCCTAGTACGGTGACCCCTGGAAACAATCCTATAATCTCTTTAATAGAAATTGTGCATCGAGGATTCTACTTACCTATTTTTTCAGTGGTTACTCATTACTCATCTGCAAAGCTGGTCTTTGCACACTGCAATAAAAAACCTGGACTAAAATTGCACCAGATACCACAGGATTGTCTGGAGCGGATGTGAGCCTTTGTTAGCGCAGCAGTGTTTAGCTCTAGCTGTGGAAAGGCATTCTTTCTCTTAAATGCTGTGGGCACAGATAACGAGCTGCATTCCTACCACTTGAGAGCAGTGCAACACAAAAACATCTTCAATCCTGGGCAGTAGACGAGAGGACAGATTATTTATAGGGATCAGTAACACCAAGATACTGTTTGTCCTGGTCCTGGCATTCCAATCTGCTTACAGGGTTTCATTCCAGCTAGAATTCCAACTACTACCAACCCAGACGAGCTCACGATTGTCTTGTCTGGAGTTCTGTAACAGTTTTTCACATTCTCTGAGAGCTCGTGATTTCAAGGGGCTTAGAAAACCTCCCCAGGACTGGAGAGCCCTGGTGTACAAAAAAACAGCTGTTTTTTGTTTGTTAGGTTGTGTTATGATCAAATCCTGCGCATGCGGAGAGTAAACTACTTTCAGCAACTAGTTTCAGGAGTTAAAGAGTAAAGTGGTTCCAGTATCTGAGCTAGTCTGACCTTGTTACAGAGGGCACACTTGTGCCACACTTGTGGGAACTCAGCATTAAGTGTGTGTAAGAGAGAGAGATGGTGTCTTGCTGAAGACCCAGGAGCAAAGCCGAATTGTGAGCTGCTCTCCTCTGCGGCATGGATCTCCAGGGTGCCCAGTGCCGTCTTTATCACCTGCTGTCCACCTCAAGGGACCAGAAAGAGGTGACGATCCACTGAACTGCGAGGCAGGGCTCATTCCCAGAGTGCACCAGTGACTAGCCATGCTCGCAGAGGCTGCTGTCATTGTGAGAGGGGGACCAGCCCTGCAGAGCACCAGTGCAGACTGGCATCCTCACCATGCAGCAGGCTGCCAGGCAATGCAAAATATTGAATGCACGGTCTCTGCGCATTAATTACAGCACAGGCCATCAAATCTCCCTGCAAATATGACAATTACTAACAACTGTGCAGACAGTAATTCGTTCAATAATTAATGTGGCAGGGTCCAAACTGGAATCAACAGCTTATGCTAAATTTGGAGGCAAGTTGTTGTAATATGAAAAAGACATTTTAGGCATATATAACCCTACAGCTGTTTCTAAAGAAAAAAAATGTTTTATTTAATCTTTCAATGCACTTGGAAAAATAACACTTTTTTTCCCCGAAACCAATTTTTTGTTATGTGCATTCTTAATTTTTGCCAACAGCTAAATATCTCCTTCTTCTAGCCGGTCGTATTCTGATTTAGAGGCACATGGTAATGTGAAAATAAACCGAAGGAAATAAAGACGAAGTGAACTAAGTGCAGGAACTCTACTCCCAGTCATCACTGATGCAGGACGGCAGCAGCATAAAGACATTAAAGAACACTTTCTCACATCCAGACAATTGTGCCGTCAGATGCAGCTAATCCTCCTGACTGTGCAAAATCTGATTTTCAGCGAGCTTGTATCGTTGGTCTGTTGTGTGTTTGAAATCTTGTCTCGGGGGATATAATTAACACTGGGCACCGTGAAGGTTTATTTATATTCTGTACGTAGTGTGCGACAGTCTGAGGTGCCAACAAAGCAATTATTTACGTTTCAAACAAACAATATATGACGACCCATGGCACTGGAGAGACTTGAACAACTGCTCATGGCTGTTGGTAGAAAAGAATCGCGTTTCTCTTTAAGCGAAAGGCTCAGCTTTGTGGGCCAGTCTGCACAGCAAGACCCTGAGAGTTGGACTTGAGAGACAAAGGGCCTCATTCTCTAGTAGACGAAGCCACAGCACATTTAAAAAATAGTGATACTCTGATAATCACTAATATAATGATATGCAGAAATTGCGCAAGGTGAATTTGCATGAGGCTGCAGTGAAGGACAGCAAAGACGTGTGTGAAGGCGCTGGAATATGCTAGGGAATGTGGTCAGGGCTCTGACCCCTGTGACCAGATCCCAGGTGGGATGCTACTGTTTACCTTGAGCAAAAATGAGAATTTGTTCTCCGTTCATTGACATACCTGTATGTGTCTAATTAATACATTCAACGAAAAATAAAGAGACACATTTAAAAAGTTAACACCAGTCTACAATCTAAAGCCAGGACATCTGCACACAGAGGGAACAGAGCTCTAACATTCTGGGCCTCATTCACTAAGTGGCAGCTGTGTGTTTTGAGTACACCTCCAAACATGACTTCTAATGAAACAGAAAACAGGATGAATACATTTACTACTTATAATAATTAAGAATATAAGAAAGGTTACAAAGGAGAGGAGGCCATTTGGTCAGTGTGGAAGGCAGTAGCTAATTGATCCCAGGATCTCACTCAGCTGTTTCTTGAAAGAATCCAGCTTCAGCAGCATGGCCGGGTAAGCTTGTTCCACACTCCCACCACCCTTAACGTAAAGAACTACCTGCTATTTTCAGTTTTAAGTATACTTGACTTAAAAACAGTAAGAAGTAGTTTTAAATAAAAAATAGCATATGGAAATAAACATGGGGATATGAAGGAGATCACAGATCCGCTGTCTTGGAATGCACTCTGAGCTCAGAAAGCCCCGGGAGAGACACAAGGCCGAAACACAGGTGTCGGCAGGGGAGCGGCGGTACCTACTTGAGGAGGTTGCCCAGGTTGAAGAGAGCGCGGTTGTGCTGGGGGTTTATCTCCAGGGCCCTCCTGTAGTGCCTCTCTGCCTCCTCCGCGCCCCGCGTCAGGGTGCCCAGGTTGTTCATGGCGCTGGCGTGCCGGGGGTACAGCCTGCAAACGTGGAGGCAGGGAGAAGCTGTCAGGTCGAAGGCCGAAACCCGCAGGGCTCAGCTCATCGCACCAACACAGGACTCGAGCGCGGCTCGTCTCCTACAGCACTCGGACCCCACCACGACCTCAAACTCGCCACGTCCACGGACCCCAAGTCTGACAAGTGGCTCTGCTGACACCAGCTTCCCTCTCAACAGTGCTCTCTGTCTTCTAATGTCCTGAGCCTTTTCCCTGTAATCCTTTCCTCACGCTAACACGCAGTCGGAAGCTCACCGTATAATAAACGGTATATCCTTAAACCAAGTTATTCTTCATTGCTGATAGCTTGCTGATCTGATCTGTTAATCAGATACACGTCAGCAGATGCCGCAGATGAACAGAAACCAGGATCTGGAGATGATTTACAGTCCGAAAGTGGCATTCCCACTACAGGAACATGTGCAAGCATCATACGGAAGTCAGAATCCTTTTCAAAGGCATACCTCCTCCGTCCCTTGATGAACAACTTGTATGACCAGCGCGAATGATGAGGAAGAGATCATATTTTCAATCACATCAGATTTTCAAAACACACGCCAATTCCAGCCTCCTCTTGCTAATGCAATGTGCTTGTGCACTCATGACTCACAGCCGTTGGTAGAAATGTAAAAAAAAAACAGCACAGAGGACCAAGAAATACAACTTAATGATGAAAATAGCTTATCTAATGGAAATAATTTAGAAGATGCAGCCTGTGGCAATTCAAAGCATTAACACAACTCATCTATGGATCTCTGGCACAAGTCTTTGCAAATAAAATCAGAGGTTCACCACGATAACCCACAAACAAAAAAAAAAGATCTGGAGGTCACGTCAATTCAAACTCAAACCTGGTGAAAAATATAGAAACAAGACATTTCATTTATCGGTTGAAACAATATACAAGAATCAGCTATTTTTTTGTTTTCAATGTCAGCCCGAATGTGATCCCTTCTTGGGGTATTCTGAGCACAAAATAAATAAATCGGCCTGTGCCTCCCTGAACGTGCTCTATGCAACACAAACCTGAGTTCCTGTGATTAATGGCACCACAGTACCAGACTCATTCTGAGAAATCTGTGAGGCATTTCTTTACACAAAGGGTTGTGGGAGTCTGGAACAAGCTGCTCAGCCATGTTGTTGAAGCTGATACCTTGGCATCTTTCAAGAAACAACTGGATGAGAAGACCACAGATCAATTAGCTCCTAATGTGGTGCGGAGCTCAGCTCCCCAGTTGAAGCTGACCAGGGATCAAACTTTAGGAGAGTCTCTGCACAGTGGGATAAAGCCAGATCCAAACCAGAGAAACCCCATGCAGGCACAGGAGAAAAGACAGACCATGTCAAACCCGGGACGCTGGAGCCGACAGGCTGTGGTGGTAACAAACATGCTTCTCTGAGTGCTGAAGTATTTTTACAACAGCCATCTGTCACAAACTGGAAGCACCGTACAGTTCAGGGCGGTAGATGATGCCTTGGAGCAGGACTGTTCCCGCTCATTCTAATTGTTGTGTGTTATCTGGAAAATAATGCAGCACTCTCGCCCTCCTGAGACTGCTGCTCTGAGGGACTTCCGCTACAGTTTAATCTGCTTTTCTAGCACCAGCTGGCGAACGCAGGACTTGATCTGAATGTTTCTTTAACTCCGAAGGCAGGGACCAGATGTGACAATCTTGGCTCATGTGACAGTCGGCTCGGCTGCAGATCTATCCTTGGTTCAGGAGGTGGAGGCGGAGGCGGAGGTGTGGGGGGGCTCCTGGGGAGAGAGGTGCTTTTTCACGCGTGGGGGCCGCAGGAGGAGTGGGTCTGGGCTGGAGGCTGCAGCTCGGCCAGGCGCAGGAGCAGTGACGGTGCTCCCACACCCTGCCGCCAGAAGGCCAAGCGGGTATTTCAGGTGCGAAACAGATGAGTCGGGAAGCTGTGTGCAGCACCGGCAGGGTTCTGGACTCGGAGCGGGGAGGTAGGGGGCTCGAATCCCATGTGTGACGCTGCTGTTGTACCCTTGACCTGCGCTGTTCCAGTTAAACACCCAGCTGTAGAGATGGCAAGAAATGTAAGTTTGCATTGGATAAAACTGCCGGCCAAATGGATAGGAATATTGGAGCATCGGCGTTTCTACAACATCACTGTTGTGCCCAAAAGTGAAATTTTCTCTGTGGACAGAAAAATGAAACTCCTCCTGCGCAAACGTTTGTGCACTCTGGGAAAGTCTCAAAATGCGGCAGCCGTTTCTAATTGCACAGCCTCACGAAAGCTGCATGAGGCTTTATGCCATTATGTGGTCTGAATGTGCCCTGAAATTGCTACATGAAAAGGAAACGGAAATATCTATCCATCCGTGTTCAAACCACCTCATCCCATTCAGGATTGCAGGGAAGCCAGAGCCCATCTTCCCCAGCAATGACAAAGGACCTTCACAGGGTACACACACACGCCCACTCACACCAGGGACAGTCGTCCCAGAAGCTGATTACCCTACCAGTACATCTCTGGGCTGTGGGAGAAAACCGGAGCACCCATAGGAAACCCAGGGGAGAACATACAGACTCCACACAGACAGCACCCCAGGTAGAGAACTGAGGCAGGGCCACAACACTGCGGGGCAGTTTTGCTAAGCTCTGCGCCACTGAGAAATACAGTACGAACTCGTTTAATGCTTTTCCTTCCACAAACATCTTTTCACAGCTGAAATCATGAGCAACAAATTTGGATAAACATTTCGATTAGGATGACTATCTGTTTCGAAGCCTATCTCGCTTTTCACCCATTTGAAAACATTAAAAAAACAAGGCTTTTCTTACAGGAATTCCTGATTAATTAAACTGTCAGAAACAAATGGCTCCCCCAGGAGTATGGCTTGTCTGTGTGATCCCTATCGCAGTGCCGTGCTTTCAGACAGGAGGGAGAGACCAGTGACAGGAAGAATAATTTGATCCCTGCTCCTATTAAAATGGTGCACTGAATCTTTAAAAAGCCCGTCACGAAGATTAACTGAGTGGACATTTTTATTCTGTGGGACACCTCCTGCCTAATGAGTGCTCAGTCTCACCTGTGATCTGTTCCAAAGACATTTTAAAACAGCAAGTGGAACTAAGGGAACTCTCTTCACACATCAGCACAGCAATGCACTGGCTGGCGCAGGGATTTCTGCAGACTCTCAGCTTCAGTGACAAGGAGAGAATATCTGCAGTCCCTCCAGACTCAGAGACGGCTTCTCTACTCACACCGATGCTGGGCTTTTTTGCAGACCATTTGTGCTGACTGGTATTTAATTCTATGCTATTTAACTTTGTTCGTGTTGCTGTTACTGCTCTGTGTTTATGTTTTGGGTGTTTCCTCAATGTCTTTGTATTGGAGCATACATGCAAATAAGCATTCCACTGCACTTGTGCAAAGGACAAATAAACTGAACTGAATCCCGAAGCAAAAGGCTCAGGGCAAAGAAAAGGGCTTTTATAATCATAAATGTTTAATAAGCAGCCCTACGCCAAGCGTATTATTCTCTATCTGTAACGTGTCCTCTGTCTATGTCAGGGAGACACATAACTCTCAGTATCCAGAAAGCCCCAGTGGATAAAATAAACCAGTTTTCATTTGCACCTAAAATCCCAAGATTATAAGGTCTGTAAGACAGCAGGCACGAGCCTGCTCATCTTCAGAGTGACAAAGGGCTTCAGATATCAACACCTTTCTTACATACATGAGCATCGGCTCCAAACATTTCATCCTGAACATCCCGTGATTAAAGTCCCTAGCTGACTGGGACTGGGACTGGGATTATCTCACCTGGGCTCTCTCTGATTTCCGGCAGCCTGCCGCTCCTGTGTCCTGCGGGGACTTCAGAGAGAGCGCGGGGGTGGCAGGAAACCTTTCACATGCTGCACAGGAGCGGAAGCTGTAAAGCCAAGTACACTAACACTGACTGGCGTGAGAGGGCAGTCAGTCCAGGTGCAATGGGGATTCCTGTTTGGACTACATCCCCCAGAATGCTGTGCAGAATGAGCGGCTGCCCTCAGTCACCTGACCAGTTACGAGAAGACAATTGGTCAGGTGAGTGTTTGCAAAGCAGGTGTGGAAGTGGGTCAGTGTGCCATAGGGGGGCAGAGGGCAGGTCCTCTGCAGTGCACACTCACAAGATGGACACTGACCGAGAGAGAAAGAATTTTGGATGTGCTTGGTTCCAAACAAATTTGAGAATTTTGGACGTGCTTGGTTGGGAAGAGTCTCGGAGAGAGACTTAGTTTGCTGGGAATAATTTTGTGAAGTCTCAGGGTGGGGCTGCAGCTGAGCTTTGTGAAGAGCACGGAAGAGACCCAGTGCTCTGAGTGACAGTTAAGGACTTCGTAAAGAAGTTGAGTCAGTAGCTCAGGTGGAGCTTAGGTTTTTGTTTTGATGTTTATTGGTTGTGACTGTTAATATTTTCCTCGCTGTCAAATAAAGAGCACTGGTGTTTTAATTTACCACACGGCTGTGGTTGGCATGTCTGTTGTCTTGGACTCGCCACGCCAGCAGGCTGTCACACTGGGTATAAAATAACACGAATTGATTTTTCTAACTAACAATGAAAAATGCGGCTCATTGAGAAGCTATCCATACCCAAAATGGAAAAACACCTCCTGAACACAGACAAATTGAAAGTTTATCGTCTCCTGGAAGACAAGATTGCTTTCAGACATAGAAGTTTGTAACCTTGTACAGTACTTGTGCTAAGTACTGTGCTAATAAAAATACAGAACATCAAATCGCAATTCAGCTAATTCTGTTTCTCCCCCCTTGAAAACAACAGATTTCAACCAAACGAGAGGGAATGGCCTCTTCTCATTTGCCACATTCCTGACGTTGCCTTCACTAAGAAACTTAAAAGGAGGATGTTTCTTTGTTTAAGGTTGAGTAATCCCCCAGACTAGGCTCCCTGAGAAGGCCTGCTCTGATGAGCCCCCTCTGCCGGCGGGGCAAGACCACCAGGTCTCTGAGCTTCTGGG